ATAGCAATTCTTAGATGCTGATAAGATAGTCAAAGAATTGCCAGTTATCTCACAAAAGCATCCTGAATTTATGTACACTAGCAAAATTATCAAAATTCAAAGAATATTAGCAATTCAAGGTATTTATTTTAACAATTACACTATATCATCTAACCATTTAAACCTAACTATGCTTATATTAGCAACTTTATGAAGTAAACCTATCGATCCCGTTGAAATTCCTCTTAAGTGCTACATTATATTATAATATTTATAAATAAACAAATTTGTTACTTATTTTATATTGGTATTTAGATGATTGATTTAATCGCTTTAAAAAGTATAATTTAGAGATTTAATTTATTATTCGTAGGATGTTATACCCTATATTAAATTTAGTGTTATTTTAAAAACTAAAGCGTGTTTATTTGTAAATTTAATTCCGAACATTTTTACTTAGCTTCACTAAATTGTTTTCATAGTAAAATTTTTATTTTTCGTATACGGTAACTTAACCACCGAATACTGAGATCCTTATAAACTTATTCATAATTGATTTTAAATTTAATAATTCTCTAAATGTTTATTAGAAAAAAAAATATATATTTATTTTGAATTTAAAAATTCAGCTATATTCTATACAGAAACTTTGAATCACTTAATGAGCAGTAACTGCATAGTAATTATGTAGATACAATTAAATTTAATAGCAATTATGTAATACTATGTCGTTACTATGCAGTTACTGCATATTAAGATATTTAAGTTCCTGTTAAGTTATTTATTATTTAATTTTTTTTTATTTTAAACATTGTCGGGAATGATGCTGAAATTTTGACTTATTTTGATATAAGATTTTTCAAAAAGGTTCATTATTATTCATTACAAGATTGGATATAATTTACCTCAAATTCATTCCAAAATAAATTAATATATTCTATTATTGCAATTGAAAAAGTCAAATTATATCTATCCTAATGCCAACTTGCTTTCTATTCATACATTATCATAAAAAAACAATTTTTATGCAAAATATACAAGTAACACGAATTATGTTTACGCTAATATCGATATCAGATATTCATATAAATAATTCCAATATAGTCAGCTACCTATGAGTTGAACTTACAGGTGCAGGTGTCAGTATTTTGAACCATTCATCTGTGGAAAATTGTTATAAATAACAGATTAATGTAAACATCTGATTAAAAAATAAAAGGATGATAAAACATACTAAAACATACTCCTGTTATTCCTTCAAGGAACTCTACCAATTTTTTACAGATTTAATTTCGGTTGTTTGATTTAAAGACGTTTCAAATTTCTATAAAATATGACTTATGAATAATAAACAATAAAAAAATTGACAAGTAGACACTTTAAACTCTTGTTATATTTTAAGCATTAATTTAGTGATTGTGCAAAGGTTTTGTAATGAGCAAATAATAACAGATAAGGGCCTCATATCTATATAAACATCCGTAATGAAAGAAATTATTACAGAAATGTGAGTCTTTATTATATCCATCGTGTAAAACTTATAAAAATACAATGATAGAAATACCAATAAACTTCATATTTCATAATATACGATAACCTCTCTGAATGCACTAATGGATCTGTCCCGTTCTCTAAATATTGATTATGTTACGGGGTGAATTGTACGTTCGATAATCTATACTGTAAAATATAGAATTTATGTGATAAGGCAACTCGCCAGAGACGTGACGTTGGTGATTTGACAATTATTTAATTTGTTAAAAGGATTTATTACATGTATTATGAAGGAATTATTGGAATCCGTAGGATGTCTTTATAAGAGAGGAATTATAGTGCTTTTATAGCTTTTTCTATCCTAACGAATTCAAGGGGCTTAGGGAAAATAACTTATTACATCTTTAACAAATTAAGAGAAATTCATACTAAAGTAGGGCTTATAATAACAAATACAACATTTTATCATAGCGAAGGCTTTGCTTCGCTTATTACATCTTGATTTTTCTATTGTTTCTCTTTTTTTCTACGCGTACTTGATCTTCGGATTTCACGTTGGCTTATTGATTCTATTCGGCCAATAAGCCTCAACTGATAAACCAGTTGTGAAGTAGTAATTATTTCTTTAATCACGAGTTTACCTAATTTTAATGATCTACCTTTTGGCCCGTGACAATTATAAAATTATTCCACAAAGCAATATTATAAAGCAGCATATAAATTCATTGAATGATACCAGTTACTTGTTTCTTAAGCACAGACAAGAATATTTGATCAAATATATGAACATAAACCTTTATTAAAATCCTTTAATACCTGTTCATTCAATATCTCATCTGATATATCATTAGTAGTATCAAAATTAACTTGCGATATTAAATGTTAAATTGCAGACATTATAACCCATATTTTTCTGGCGTTGAGATTTGAATCACTTTTTAATTGTGGAAAAAACTCCGAAAGGACTCGGCGAAATAAATCATTGCGGCGAATTTATGGAATAGCCCAAATTTTGAAAAATTTGACCACTAAGATATAAATATAGATTTTGGCTGAGTTAAGAAAATTTTCCCAGGCTAAGGTGCGTCGTTATAATAAATTTATATGTCTAATAAGGGTGGGGAAGATGGGTTAGACGCGTTATCAGTCTAAATCAGAGGTCCAAAAAAAAAAAAAAAAATTTCGGGTTTGATATCGATTTATTAATATGCAAATTGGTAACTAAGATTTAATTTGGGGGACAAAATACTCGGATTTGGTGACCAAATTTTAGCTAAATTTCATAAATTCGCCGTGACGTATTAAAATAATAAATATCTCATATGCTTATTGACTTTTCGATATCACATAAGTTTATTGATTGTATATGGGTATATATTATTAAAACTTATCACTTTGTGTGATGTCAGATAAATGACCTGTTGGGAAGTGACCATTGGGAAATTAGATATAACCTTTTTATTCGATGTAAATTGTATTGTTTCGCTAATGCAAGGTCTTTAGCTATTACAGTAATATATTACGTATGAATATTATGATCACTGTTCATAATTTGAAAATTATCCGTTAAATCGATCTAGAATCAATTTTAAGTTAATTCAAAATTCTTTGTCTAGAACTATTTAAAATTTCATTTCAATCTTAGTATAATTGGAATCTACTTGAATAGATTTTAAATTATTGGGGTTTTATTTTAATGAAATATAATACATATTTAACTCAAAATTTTTATATAAATTTAATTTAGACATTTAGACTCTATTTGACACTATATATTTAGAAATTTAATTTATGACACAAAAAATTACTTGTAAGCATATTGATTTTCATTATCAAATCGAACCATGATACAATACAGCAATAAAGAAACTTCACATGTACAGTACAGGCTTACTAGTACTTATTTGAACTTTAATTTTCAATATAACTTTACTATTCAGTTAGTATTTACAAAAATTTACATGCTAAAAGCTTAATTACTAATCAAAATTTAGAGTGCAAATTTTGTTAGTGGGAAAGTAAGATTATTGTTCAATTTCACAGATACTATCAAAAAAATCGTTAAAGTACAAGATATTTATTATTAAGAACAAGAAAAATACAATGTTCAAGAGTCAACTTTGTGTAATATTCCAATAACCTATAAACAATTTGATGCAAGCATAATAAATGGTATCATAAGAATAAATACTTAAATGATTTTAGGAAAATGGAGCAAATTTTATTTAGAATTATGGAAGAAGCGCACGAGTTGAATTGGCCTGAATTCGTGAAAGATTTTACGTCGAACCTTGCCGTTGCACGCTCCACGGAAATTTTAGACATTACACGAAATATTTTGACGACTTTAACTTTTTAACGCTCACAATATTTATATATAATTTTGAACAATATTATAGAAAATTCGTATAAAAATATAATAAATTATTCATAGAACTTTGATTTTATAAATTGTCAGTTCGTTATATAGAAATTTGAAAATATCATTTTAAGCAAGTCTTATCATGAATACGACAGTAGTAAGAAAAAAATATTATTTATTTAAGTATAATTAAGAAATACAGACATAAGAGTTAGTGCCTTAAAAGTCGTAAGATTATTTTTTAAGACAAAATAGCTTAAAACAAAATTATAACGAATAGAATATAGAATAATAGATTATTTAGTGCTTAACCTGAGTAAACGATTAGATAACGTGGTATAATTGCCTGCAATATAGATAATAATATTAATTTATCCAATGTTTTATATAATTTTATTTTACTCAAAAAATATACATATTAAGTAAATATATTAACAAACCTCCGCACGGGCAACGGTATACTCGCTACCTGATGAATATGATGCGCCTACGACATCAATGATAAACATAGCCCTTGACGAATCTATACCAACGTTGGTATATCCATGAGAGTACCATGCGTCAGGCGAAAACCAAACGCGACCTATGATTTTTTTTTTTTTTTTTTTTGAAAAAAAAGCTTATTACTTAATAAAAAATTCATAAAAAAGCATGAATTACTCACTGTTGTTCAATCTAAAACCTGTTCGGATTATGCCGCACACACAACAAACTGCGTTTTGACAAATTTTTGAGCTATTTAAGTTTCTAATCGCACAGGCATGCTTTGTGCCATGAAAATATTGGTCACAGCGGAGTCCTGGATTATTTTTTTTATAAATTTCATGATTATTTGTAATATGCTTAGGCACTTCTACTTTAATTATTGAATGTATCTGTATATTGTATTTTCCAGCCATCTTGGAAGTAAATTTCGATTGAACTGTCACATATTCATTAGAGCCAGGTTGTAAAGGAGTTGCTGTTGTCATATTGGGCAAAAATGAGAGAGAAAGGTTTCATTACTGTATATCTATTTGATCGTTGGAAAACTTTTATTTAAAAATTCTAATTTTTTAACATCAATATCAAAATTCTATTTTATTAACTTTATTATCTATGTTAAATATAAGGATGAGTTACGTGTCATGCTTCAGTTTTTCGAACTTTGTAAAATTCTATTTTGCATGAAACCTATTGTATTTTTCGCGATCCGCCTAAAGTAACTATGACCTGATTAAACAAGTATAATTAACAATAGTTATAATTCTTTTTTAACTACTTATACGATCACATTTTCCAAACTACTATGAGACGCTAATTTTATTAAAGTCAAGTATAACGCGTAATTAGCGCGTTTATAACAGATAAAACAAAGACAATCCACTTACTAAAGTTTCTGATTTATTTTAACTTATTGCGTGTATATAACCTATAATATTATAGATAATATTTTATTCGGTTATTCAAATAAGGTAAAACGAGTTTAAGTTTGACAAGTATTATTATTATTTTTTTATAATATAAATCAATTGATTTTTTTTTTTAGCTTTACATGATAGTCTATAAAATTTAGCTCGAAGGAATTTGCATTCGTTTGTAAGTATAATAAATTCGTTCAACATTAAAGTTCAGAGTTTATTAAAAATCAAAATTTGTGTTTTCAAATTTGTTTTAAGCAAAAATATACAAATAAGATATATATATAACCCATTCAAATATAACATACTATAATGATGACTAGTAATGATCAAAAGAACTTTAAGAACTTTAAAAAATCACAAACCTAATAAATTTAATCAAGAATATGTATATACATTATATACATTACGGTATTACAAATTTCCTATCCTAAAACGTAAAAATGTTATTCAAAGTTTGAACTTTAAAGTAAAACAATCCATAATCTTTATACATTTATAAACCATAATATGCATGTTTGTGCAAGTGATGAAAGAAATTTTCATCCTCAAAAATAATTACAATGAATAATCAATGAATAAATTCAGTGTCCAAAGAAATAATTTAAGAAAAATTTAAAAGATGAATCCAACTTCATTAATTGATATTGTTGCTAGTTTGATCTTCTTTATCGTCTGGTTCTTTATCCTTGTTTTTACGTTTCAACTCAGCGAGATCCTATAACGATAAAAATTATATTCACGTACATATTAATACTATGAAAATTATACATTACACTTTTTTTTTTAAGGTTAAGGCCACCCCAATTTGATTCTCTGTTTAACATAACCCTAATAAATGATCTGCAACTCTAAACATGAGGGGGGGGGGGGAGTAAAAAACATGAGATTT